CTTCATGACCCAGCAAAGCAGGCCTGCAGAATCAAACATCTTCTCTAAGCTTATACCTGATGTAGGTGATTAAATCACTATCCACACAAGGATAGAGAACATAACATATGATTTCCCTCTACAGGACCACACCAAAATAGGCAGCCAACTCTTTTTTTCCTCAGCAGATGGAGGAAGGATGCTCTTAGTATTCTTATTACACATGATATTCCAGCACCTGCCAAAAGCTTTAGAATCAGTCTGCAGCCAGCCAGTTGCTCTTCCACAGCAAAACTAACAGCAGCTCGCTGCCATCCATAAGCCTTCAGGCAGGGTCAAACCACTATACTCATTTTAATAAAAATCTGCATCATTCTCATGCACTTAACAAGTCTGTTCTATACCTGGATTTACATTTATTTTAAAAGAATATTTCCTTGAAAACTAGAAATCTAATTTGTGAATTCCTCCCCAATTATTACTTAAGGCTGGAGGTTACTCACCTTACAACTGAACAGTCTGCTTAGGCCACAGGTAAGCCATCAAGCAGCTTTTCCTGAACTTTGAAGTACTAGATACTTTGGGTGACTCCACTTAAGTGTCCTGCACCCACAAGGGCAAATTAACCCCCTGAATCATGTAAAAAGCCTGTTATGATTAAAAATCCCTACTTTTTAACACACTGCTTACCTATTCACAATCTATGCTAATTTTGAATGATTTGTACTAATCACTCAAAAACGGTGTCTCAAAGCTTCTTCTTTCATTCATAGTCACCATATTTGTCCAGATGTTAAACCAGATGTGTAACAAATATTGTAATGGGATCAGCAGGTATCATCTATTTTGAGAGAGAAAATTAAGCTTGTTCACGTCCACTGCACTCAATCAAGCTACTGGTCTCAAACATCTGCTTTGCCTCACTCACGTTTTAGCGTTTCAGTTTTATTCCAGACTAGTCTTTTTCCTACAAGGAACAAAACCAAAATCTGTTCTCTCAAAAATGTCTGAAGAGTTAAATGTGATAATTTAGGTCAGGACACACTAAACATATGTTTAATTAGTACACAATAATTGGATCCCTGGGAAGGAGTTAAGATACATTTACTGCAGTAAAATATTGACAGTAAAATTCTAACGATCCATTTGCCTTTGCTGTTCACCTCGTGTGCAGTGAATCCGAGAAAACTCAGTAACAACTAAGTGTTATTAAGCAGGTATTCTTTATTGCAGCACTGGGCAGCATGGGGGATAGCTCCTTCCATACTTGCGCGTCCAGCGTTAGGATTCTTGCCTTATACTTACAGCTTTCATGTTTATTCATTACATTTCTGAGAAAAGGTCGAGTTATTCTAATTATTTCCAGGAATTCATTAACATAAGTTCCACCCATAGTCCCGCCTCAGTCCACCCAAGTTATGCCTCCATCAGTGGTCCTTGGTGGTCGTTGGGGATGAAGGTCCAAGTCTTCCTCATGGTTGAACTTTTGAACTTGTCCTGTGGTGCATGCCCTGTACCATCCTGGGTCTTTTCCAATTTGCAGAACCAGCTCTTGCTAGCTGCCCTCCCTATCTCTCCTGCTTAGTGTTCTGTGTTCCTTGAGCCCCACAGTCTGATTGGAGGATTCCTCCTGCTGTCCTTCGCTTGGCGGATCCTGCTTCATTCTTATCTTTAAAGTGTTAGTTAGTCAGCAATGGATATATGCATAAAGGTTAGTACAAATAGGCCTTCCTCCCTATCTCTAAAGGCTGGTCAGCAGTTCTTTTCTAAAAGCTAGTTTCCTAAAAGCTAGTTTGCCATTCTTTATTACAGCAGTGCTTCCCCATACTATGGTGTGACTGATGTACCGCAAATGACCTAGGGGACAGCACTCTTCCAAAACCTTCAATATAAGTCTGCAACAAATGACAGGGCTATACTTTCATCCCTTTGGCAGCCAGCACTCCCCTCTAGACATAGACAAACTGCAGTTTATGCTATGGAGCCAAACGAATTGAGAAAAAATGTGTTAGTTATGACAATGGCTGAACAACAAGCAGTATTCATAGATCACCAAATCACAGAATAGTTTGGGCTGGAAGGGACCTTGAAATGTCATCTAGTCCAACCCCCCTGCAGGGGGGACAGGGAGCAGGGACATCTTTCACTAGATCAGGTTGCTCAGAGCCCCATCCAACCTGACCTTGAATGTTTCCAGAGATGGGGTTTCTAACACCTCTCTGGGCAGCCTGCTACAGTGCTTCACCACCCTCACTGTAAAAAATTTCTTCCTTACATCTAGTCTGAAACAACTCTCTCTTAGTTTAAAACCATTACCCCTCATCCTGTTGCAACGGGCCCTACTGAAAAGTCTGTCCCCATCTTTCTTATAAGCCCCCTTTTAGTACAGGAAGGCTGATACAAGGTCCCCCTTAAGCCTTCTCTTCTCCAGGCTGAACAATGCCAACTCTCTCAGCCTGTTCTGACAAAAGAGGTGCTCCAGCCCCCTGTTGCCCTCCTCTGGACTTGTTCCAACAGGCCCACATCTTTCTTACGCTGAGACCCCAGAGCTGGACACAGCACTCCAGGTGGAGTCTCACCAGAGTGGAGTGGATGGGCAGAATCACCTCCCTCGACCTGTTGACCATGTGTCTTCTGATGCAGCCCAGGATACAGTTGGCTTTCTGGGCTGCGAGCGTACATTGCTGACTTATGTCCAGCTGTTTGTCCACCAGCACCCCCAAGTCCTTTTCCGCAGAGCTGCTCTCAATCCCTTCATCCCTGAGCTTGTATTGGTATCAGGGCTTGCCCTGGCCCAGGTGCAGGACCTTTCACTTGGTCTTGCTGAACCTTATGAGGTTCACATGGGCCCACCTCTCCAGCTTATTCAGGTCGCTCTAGATGACATCCCGTTCCTCAGGTGTGTTGACCAAACCACTCAGCTTGGTGTTATCTGCAAACTTGCTGAGGTGCACTTGATCCCACTGTGTATGTCACTCATGAAGATACAAAACAGTACTCCTCTCAATATGGACCCCTGAGGGATGCCACTTGTCACCAACCTCCGTCTGGACATTGAGCTGTTCACCACTACCCTCTGGATGTGATCATCCAATCAATTCCTCACCCACTGAACAGTCCAGCCTCCAGCTGCGCCTTGGCCTTTCTGACTCCATCCCTACACAATCAGGCAGCGTCCCTATACTCTTCTCAGGATACCTGCCCCTGCTTCCACTGCCTGTGCATTTATTTCCATCTTGCCCTTTAGTTTGACCAGCAGATCTTGACTCATCCATGCCAGTCTCTTCCCTTGCTTTTCTGACTTCTTACACCTGCAGACTGAGAGCTCTTGAGCAATATGGAAAGCGTCCTTGTAGATCTCCCAACAGTGTTCTGCACCAAGGGCAGTTTCCTGGGGAACCCTATTGACTAACTCCTTGAACAGCTGGAAGTTCGCTTTCCTAAAATTCAGGGTCTCTCGACTTTACTCTTCACCTGATCACGTCACTCAGAACTGCTAACTCCATGAGTGCATGACCACTGCAGCCCAGTCTCCTCCTATCTTGACGTCACCGACAAGCTCACTTGCGTTGGTGACTGCGGGGTCCACTATTGCATCCCTTCTGGTAGGGCTGTCTATTACCTGGCTGAAGAAGTTATCCTCCATGCACTCCAGGAGTGTCCTGAATTGCCTACAGCTCGCCATGCTACATTTACAGCAGATGTCAAGGTGGCTGAAGTCCTCCAGCAGAATGAGAGCCCGTGAGTGTGATGGCTCCTGCATCTGAAGTATGAAGAATCATACAATGGTGTAGGTTGGAAGGGACCTTAAAGATCATCTTGTTCCAACCCCCCTGCCATGGGCAGGGACCCCTCAAAGCCCCATCCAACCTGGCCTTAAACACTTCCAATGATGAGGCACCCACAGCTTCTCTGGGCAACCTGTGCCAGTGCCTCGCCACCCTCACAGGAAAGAATTTCTTCCTAATACCTAATCTAAACCTACCCTCTTTCACTTTGAAATATTACCCCTCGTACTATCACTACATTTTCTAGTAACAAGTCCCTCTCCATCCTTCCTATAGGCCCCCTTGAAGTACCGGAAGGCCTCTATAAGGTCTCCCCAGAGCCTTCTCTTCTCCAGGCTGAACAACCCCAACTCTCTCAGCCTGCCCTCCCAGGGGAGGTGCTCCAGTCCCATGATCACCTTCATGGCCTCCTCTGGACCTGATCGAGCAGCTTCAGGTCTTTCTTACGCTGAGGGCCCCAGAGCTGGACGCAGTACTCCCAGCGGGGTCCCACCAGAGTGGAGTAGAGGGACGGAATCATCTCTCTTGACCTGCTGGCTACGCTTCTTTTGATGCAGCGCAGGATGTGATTGGCTCTCTGGGCTGTGAGCGCACATTGTTGGCTCATACTCAGTCTTTCATCTAGCAGCACCCGCAAGTTCTTTTCCACAGGGCTGCTCTCGATTCATTCATCACCCAGCCTGTATCCATGCTTGGGATTGCCCTGACCCAGGTGCAGGACCTTGCCCTTGGCCTTCTTGTACTTCAGGAGGTTTGCATGGGCCCACCTCTCCAGTCTGTCAAGGTCCCTCTGGATGGCCTCCCTTCCCTCCAGCATGTCGACTGCACCACACAACTTAGTGTCGTCAGCAAACTTGCTGAAGGTGCACTCGATGCCACTGTCCATGTTGCTGACAACGACGCTAAATACACTGGTCCCAATACTGACCCTCGAGGAACACTACTTGTCACTGGTCTCCACTCCGACATTGAGCTCTTGACTGGGACTCTTTCAAGTGCAGCCACCTAGCCAATTACTGATCCACTGAGTGGTCCATCCATCAAATCCATGTCTCTCCAGTTGAGGGACAAGGATGTTGTGTGGGACAGTTTCAAACGCTTTACACAAGTCCCGGCAGATGATGTTGGTTGCTTTACCCTTATCCTCCAACGCTGTAAACCCATCGTAGAAGGCCACGAAACTTGTTAGGCGCAATTTGCTCTTGGTGAAGCCATGCTGGCTGTCACCAATCACCTCCTTATTTTCCATGTGCCCTAGCACAGTTTTCAGGAAGATCCACTCGATGATCTTGCCAGGCACAGAGGTGAGATTGACTGGCCTGTAATTCCCCAGGCCTTCTTTTTTTCCCCTTTTTAAATATGGGAGTTATGGTTCCTCTTTTCCAGTCTGCAGGAACTCTGCCAGATAGCCAAGACTTCTCTCATACGACGGACAGTGGCTTAGCAATTTCATCCACCAGTTCCCTCAGGACCCCTGGATGTATCACATCAGGTTCCTTAGATGGTCTCAAACTTGATTCTCTCCTACAGTGGGCAGTTCTTTATTCTACCAGCCCCTGCCTTTGCCTTCTGTGACTTGGGCGGTGTGGCTGCAGCACTTGCCAGTGAAGACTGAGGCAAAAAGTCATTGAGGAACTCAGGCTTCTCCATATCCTCAGTAGCCAGGTCTCCCATTTCCTTCTGGAGAGGGCCCACATTATCTCTGGTCTTCCTTTTGTCACTGATGCACCTATAGATGTTTTTCTTGTTACCACTGATGTCCCTGGACAGGTCTAATTCTATCAGGGCCTTGACTTTCCTGACCTGATCCCTGGCTGCTCAGACAATTTCTCTGTATTCCTCCCAGTCTACCTGTCTTTCTTTCCACTCGCTGTAGACTTCCTTTTTTTTGCTTCAGTTTGTCCAGGAGCTCCTTGTTCATTCATGTAGGCCTTCTGGTATTTTTGCCTGACTTCCTCTTCACTGGGATGCAAGGCTCCTGAGCTTGGAGGAGGTGTTCCTCAAATATTGACTCCCTATCTTGGGCCCCCCTTCCCCCCAGGGCTGTATCCCATGGAACTTTCCCAAGCAGTTCCCTGAAGAGACCAAAGTCCAGGCCTCTCCTCTCTTGAAGTCCAGGCTAGCAAGCTTGCTGTGCACCCTCCTCGCTGCCCTAAGGATCTTGAACTCCATCACCTCAGGACCTACTGATTTCAATAGGCTCCCCTTGATTGGGCACCCTGTAGTAAACACCAGTCACAAAGTTCCCTTTCTTGCTTCAGTCTCTGGTTCTCACCCATAATCTTTCAACCCGCTCATGGCTATTCTTCAGAGACAGCTCTTGACAATCTATCAATTTCTTGCTGTAGAGGGCAAACTGTCCACCCCTCCTTCCTTGCCTGTCCCTTCTGAATAGCCTGTAGCCACCAATAGCCACACTCCAGTCATGGGATTCATCCCACCAAGTTCAGTAATGGCAACTAGATCGTAGCTTTCTAGCAGTGTGGTGGCTTCCAGCTCCTCCTGTTTGTTGCCCATGCTGTGTGCATTGGTGTAGAAGCATTTCAGCTGGGCTGTTGGCCGTGTCATCTTCTTAGAGGAGCACAACTTAATTCCTTTGAGGTATTTCACCAGTGCTCCCCTGTTGGCTCCTATTACCTCAGGAGACCCTGGCTCATCTCTGTAAGACATCAAATATGCTGCAGTATACCCAACACGCCTCAGAGCAACAGGTTGAGGGCCCTCGCTGGCACCCTGTCCCTCTAACCCTGGCGTGTGGTCCGACAGCATGTCATGAACATGAGTGATATTAACCCCCTCCCTCTTCAAGCCTTGTTTAAAGCTCTCTCAATGAGCCCCACTAGCTCATGAGGACAGACTTTCTTCCCCTTTGAGAAAGGTGAATCCCACCCAATGCCAGCAGGCATCTAAAAACTCAGAACTGTGGCAGTGATAGTGGCCACAGAGCCATGTATTAACAGACTGGGTCCACCTGTTTCTTCCAATGTCACTGCTTACAACCGGAACCACAGAGGAAAAAATTACCTGTGCTCCAAATTCCCTCACCAACCGTCCTAAGACCAGGAAGTATTTTTTGATTGCTCTTGCACTACGTGTTGTGGTTTCACAACCACACATATGAGAGATCAATAATGGGTAATAGTCCAAGGGCTGTACCAGGCCAGGAAGTTTCTAGTCAAGTCCTTAACCCAGGCCCCATGGAAGCAGCAGACTCCACTATGAGAAGTGTCTGTCTGGGATACTGGACCAGCTGTTCCCCTCAGAAGGGAGTCACCTATAACCATAACCTGTCTTTTCTTCCTCATGGAAGTGGTCATGATACAGGGGTAGGCCTTTCTGACCTTAGCAAACACCTCTGTTGTAGATGGACCATCATCCACATCATCCACTGACTGACCTTGCACATCCAGAGCCTCATACCTGTTTTAGAGAGGCATCCAGGAAGGAAAGGTAGGCAAGTAGGTGGTTTGCCTGCCACGCTGAGCATGGACTTGCCTCCATTCACTCTTGTCCTTTAAGCTACTGCCTTCTGCCTTGTGGGGGGAGGACACATATTTCCCTTGATCTTGTTTTTTTTCTGGTGGCTGTTCCTGTTTTCTGTCTCAGGGAGGGCAGAGCACGGTTCCACTAGTCTATCTCTTTCTCGGACTCCCTGATGCTCCTTAACCTTTCTACTTTCCCCTCACAATTCAGGATGATGCAGTTAATTACCTGGTACACCACCTGGACACTCACAAGTCCATGGGGCTGGATAGGCTCAGTACACTGAGACCGGTCTTGTTTAATGAGGGGAGTGTTGCCTCACTAAGTTTGCAGATGACACTAAATGTGATCGCGCCTCTGTACTCAGCACTGGTGAGGCCACACCTCGAATACTGTGTGCAGTTTTGGGCCTCTCACTACAAGAAGGACATTGAGGTGCTGGAGCGTGTCCAGAGAAGGGCAACAAAACTGGTGAAGGATCTGGAGAACAGGTCTTACGAGGAGTGGCTGAAGGAACTGCGCTTGTTTAGTCTGGAGAAGAGAAGGCTGAGGGGAGACCTTATCACTCTCTGCAACGACCTGAAAGGAGGCTGTAGTGAGGTGGGGATCGGTCTTTTCTCCCAAGTAACTAGTGATAGGACAAGAGGAAATGGCCTCAAGTTGCACCAGGTGAGGTTTAGATTGGACATTAGGAAGACTTTCTTTACTGAAAGAGTGGTCAAACATTGGAGCAGGCTGCCCAGGGAACTGGTGGAGTCATCATCCCTGGAGGTGTTCAAAAAATGTGTTGATGTAGCACTTCAGGACATGGTTTAGTCCGCACGGTGGTGTTGGGTTGGCAGTTGGATTTCATGATCTTAGAGGTCTCTTCCTACCTAATGATTCTATGATTCTAGTTCCTCTCATAGCTCTGCCACCACGCTGAGCAGTCCTCCACTGGCACACAGCTGTTCTCACTGCTGCTACCCCTTCACCAGTGACAGGCTCTAGCACTCCCTGCAGCCCAAGACCTGGATGGTTGCATGTTTTCATGGGTGCTCCATCTGGGTTGCCACATCCATTCTGGCAAGTGCAGAGGACATAGCTTTGTGCCAGCTGGATACCATAGCTAACCTCCTTCTGAGGGGTGATGGCCATCAACTGAACTCACATCTTGAGAGTGATGATGCCCTTCTCGTGCTCCCTTCCGTGTGAACTGCCGTGCAAACTGATGCGCCACAATGTTTGCTCACTCTGTTCACAGCACTCCTGGTCGCTCATGCTCCCTAGACTGCTTTTTATAGGAGTGGGGGTGGCTGCTGTTGCTCTGGCAATGCCCAGGCCTCGTCAGAGTCTCCCACAAGAGCTGCTGGCCCCTGGCACATCTCTCCACTGCGCTGGCATTTCCCTGCCTCAGGAAACCCTGCTGTGTGCCAAGATCTGCCACTCTGCTGCAGATGGGGCTGGCTCTGGAGCAGCTCCCCTCAGCTTCAAGTTAATACTGTCTGTAGTTCTAGCACAGCTGGTACTGCTGCACTTGAGGGTGGTGTTACCTCATATTTAAATCTCAACAGCATGCAGTTAATTGTCAATCCTCATTGGGTTTTCACACAAGGTAGACATGGTTGTTGAAGGGTTGAATGAATTCATGCAACTACCCTTTGACTTTCCAGTTCTTTTGATATGGCCATGGATAAGCCAAAGCTAATCTCTGTTGGTCCAGTATCGTAATCAGTGCTCCATTTGAGTTGCAGCCAGCCCTAATCAAAGCGATACCTGTAGTTCTACTACTAACATTCCTTTTAAGAGGTCAGGCAGTTGAGGTATCAAAGAGGTATCATTACTTATTTCCACAGTAGCAATGCTAAATGCTCACCGACCTCGTGGATCCTTAAAATATCCAGTCCTCAGTGGTACTGAACATAGGAACAAAATACACACTTGCTCCTCAAAGAACCGAGGCAATCTTTGGCTAAAGCCTGCCGATACAGTGGCCGTGACTAGCTTCTTAAAGGAAATTGAAAAAACTGGAAATGCTGAAGAGAGAATGACATTACAGTTTTCAGTACTGGTCACTTTTATTCTCTGTACTTGCCATATATGTCAACCAGTTTAAGAACAGAGCATACACTAAATTCAAACACAAATTACTTCAGTTCTCAGACACATTTCTTCAGCTGACAGTTCACAAAAATCTAAAACAAATTTAAGCTTAGCATAGCTCAGATAATTTACAATATTTTGCTAACTATTATCCATAGACACACTGCCACTTGCAAAGGCGAAGATCATTAACACAGGCCTCATTTAAATGGACATTCACTCTGTGAACTCTTGCCATTCAAAGATATCTAACGTGTTGTAGTGATTAACTAATTTAACACATCATGCGCTCCAAATTATTAATTAAAAATTCTGTAACGTATTTCAAGTTGTTCCTATAAAACTGAAAATACACAAAATAGCCAAGTAACTTCCAGAAAATACATTTCAGAACTTTGTTTAACTGTCTTATAGAGAACAGTAATTTACATAAGGGAATCTGTCATATCTCAAATTATCTCATTTAAGTGATCACACCTACTCAAAGTAGCAAATGTAAAGGACTTCTACTTAAGCCAACCCTTAACTACTAGAGCTTGAATCTGCAAGCGAATGCAGTCAGCTGCAGACATCAGCATTCTCCTGTTAGAGGCAGAAGTTCAAGAAACACTCAGGCTAAAATAAGTTTTTATAAACTATGCCTGCCTGTTCTTTTGGCTTCTTTCATCACTGCCTAGCCTAAGAGGCCAGAAACACTTCACTTGCAGAAGACACAATACTAATTCTCAGGAAAAAAAAGGAATAGATAACAGCAGATACATCCAATTTAACAGGAACATGCTAGTGGCATACAATTCCCTCTTGTAGTTCTAACTGGAGTGACTGAAGATTCAGCATCCACTAACAAGAAGATACCCGTGCCCTTAATTCTGCCAACAGAAAAGAATACTTAACAGCGCCCCCTCGACAACCTGTGTGTCATCAGATACAGTAGTCTGAACCACATTCATTGAGATTTAAACTGCAAATGCTTCTTTTTCAAGGAAATAAAAAATAAAAATTAAAAAAAACAAACCCAGAGAAGCCCTCTCACTGCTCTTCGGTAAGGCAGATGCATCTTCCAGTTAGCGGCACAGTGAGCTGCTGAAAAGAGCAGCATCCTAAACTTTTCCTCTAGCAAATTAGGTTGCTGAGAGTCTGGACTTCAGCGTCACTTTCAGTTCAGGGTTACCAAGTGAAAACTAATTTCAGAAAAGCACACCCAGCACATTGATCTGTTAAGTGCACAAAGCAAGTTTAAGATATACAGTCAACCTCTGCATCCATAACATTATAGATCTGTATTTTTGAGAAAAATACATCATAAACCAAACCTCCAGCCTACCTACCTTTATTCCACCTTATCAGAATTCAAAATATATTTCAGTCCTCAGAGAATCCCATTTTTCTTCTGCCCTAATAAATTTCACAGCAGCAAAAAGGGAACCCTTACTTTGTGACAACACCTTTAAAAATGAGCATCAATTCATCTGCACTTACCCTAAACATTTGGAAACAGCACGCTTACACACGACAGTGACCAATTTACAAGACAAGAAAATTTTCTTCTGCCCCCTATGAATTTAGATGCAAAACTCCCTACTATTTAGAGACTGTACTGAACACTATGGCCTCAAGAATAGATGCCATGCAACATGTTCAATTAACAGTCAGAGCTGACCGACTCCTAACTGAAAAACTGTGGTTTTCCAAATAAATACCAGTCTCTAACTGCATCCCAGCTGGGGATCCTAAAAATGGGTTACATGAAATTGCTAATGCTAAGTGGCCCAGTTGTTCCCTACAGTTATTTTAGCTAGTTAAGCAGTCAGGGCATGCATGGCTCCATCTAGGCAAGTAATTCCCATAGCTCAGTACATTGAGCAAACTCCCTCCATTCCCTCTCACACCAATTTCCATTTCTCCTACATTATACAGTACAGTAAAACAGAAGAGGTAAAAAAACCCATCTGCATCAAAGACGAATTTCATAATTCCCAATAAAAAAGCCAACAGTGTACTTCCATCAATTTTAATTTATAATTACACAGCCAAAATAAATTTCTGAATTTCTTGCAATCTGTAGAGAAACTGAATATAAAACTGAGAAGAACCCCTTCCAACATCAAGCTACATACCCACCTTCCACACCACAATCTTCATCAGGAATCTAATCCACCTTCATATAAAGACAAGTAAGATCATTTGCTACTTCTTCTACCACAAGGCTTCTACAAAGTTTATTCTGATGTTGGGAGCCTTATCCTATTAGTAATAATAGAAATTGGATAATTATATATATATACATACATATATGTAAAAATAAATATATAAAATAATTATTCCAATTTAATGATAGACTATTAATTCTCATTTGTTCTTATGCTGATGTCGTTATTCAAGCATGAATAGCCTTCCTACCTTCCATAGTGCTTAGCACTGTAAAACATTTAGACAGCATTATCAAATCTTTATCCCAGCTTGTGAACCAAGCTAGCCAGGGCCCTTTAGTTTCCTTTCACACGGGAGTCTCAAGTCTTCCACACCCTCCTAGCACCTCCTTCCTCCACCTGCTCTGGTGGCAATTCATTCCCCTTGGGAACAGGTGGCCAGGACAAACACAGTAGAGCAGCATCACTATTCTTACTGGAAGTTCAAGTATCTATGAGCTTCAGGGCTTCATCATTCAGTAAATCCAACTCAATCTACTCTGCTCACTTGGCAGACATTTCCAAAAGACTGACCCCTACTCAGGCAGAGTACAAATGTTAAACTTTGTGTTCTTCAATTCCATCATGTTTCTATTGATTTGTACTCAAAATAATCAAATTTTATCAAATTAATAAAAAGACTATGAAGAAACAGATCCCAAGACTAACTCCAAAAGACCTTTACTACCAACCTACCTAAAGTTGAACTGTTTCTCTTTTTATTAAAAACTCTGAGAAAAGGGTTTTTTTTAATATACCTTGTAATTCCTTACCAATCTCCAGCTTTTTTGTAATAGACTAACAGGTTTCTCTGAGACTTTGGGAAAAGTCGATGTTTAGGCAAGGATGAATGCTTCCAGCCCAAAGGGCTTTGCTTTCCTCCTCCCTGAGGGAGGACATGCTAGTCAAAACACTCTGTTTAAAATCTGGACTTAAAATTCTCAAGTTTTCCCTCCCACTGCCCTTGAAAACATACTAACTACACATTATACTGCCATATAGACATTGCTTAAAGTCAGGTGAGGGTGATGCAGTTGTTATCAGACAATAAATCAGCTAATGAAGCAAGAAACTGACCAGTGCAACAGGTTTTACCACTATTAATCAAACCCCATGATCAGCAACAGATTAATGGCACATATTGTGCCTGCTATTGAAATGTCCAGAGGGTAGGAAACTACTTAGCTCATAAGTAAATGCTTTATAGTAGCTTTACTGATAACATATTTTGTTCTAGATATTTCCTTCTACAAATAATAAACAGCAGGTTTTGCTGGCACAAACCTACATTTACAGTAATCTCTTGTACTGTCTTCCTAAACAGGACACTCATATTTAGTTAGGAGACCACCTCGATGCTTGCATGAACAAATTACTGCCCTACTTCAGGTCCCAAAGACACAACAGATACAGTAATTAGAAAGAACCATTGGAGAGGAAGAGTCTTGTGAATCCAGTCAGGTTTACAAGGTGAGTGAGTGACTGAAAACCACTACCATTTGTATTCAACTAAACCAGGCATTTAAAATTACTACAATATTTAAAAACACCCTCACAGAGAGTATAAAACTTTCATAAACTTCTGTGTTTGCTATTTGCATTTCTGTGCTGAAGTTTGTATACAAAGAAAGAAGCAGCAGTTTATCTGGAAGGTAAACAGTCTGGAACTGGCAAGGTACAAATCCAAATCTAGCTCTGACATTTACTTCCTGAGCAACTACCTCTGCCTTTCTGATTTCCTCTCCAAAACTGAGCTCATCTACACCTAGATGAAGTTTATCAGTTGCTGTTATACACTGTCCAGAGATCAACAAAATTAATTTCTGATCTCAAAGTCGGGCTCTACACTCTTCTACCCTGCATTTCAAAACCAATCTAAGCCCCGTTTAACAGGGGACACATAGGGCCAGTTTTCTGATCCTAAATAGTGACTAAAAGAGGACCATACATGCAGCTTTGTACTAACACATGAAAACATACATTTCAACA